ATGTAGCCCAGGTTACTCCTGAAGAGAAGATCCTTGTGCCTTGTCTCCCAAGAGCTGGGATTACAAGTGTGTACCTGACTTAATAAAGTATTTTAAATTATATTTTTTGGATTTCAAAATTTACGTTTGTGAAGAATACAATCTTTTTCTTCTTAAAAATTTATTATTCTGGCATTAGCAATGGACAGCTTGGTAATGAGTGAAAAAAAAAAAAAAAAGCCTTCATTCTGTTAGTGCCTGGATTTTAATAAGGACTGTTTTAGCCTAAGGTTCAAAAATAATTTACCACCACTTTAAGCCATTGACTCCGAGAATTCATTTTAGCCAGTATTGGGCATGACACTAATTCAGTATTAAGTACTAAGCACATTAGCAATTTCGGTGCACTCACTATAGCTTTCCAAGTGGCCAAAGGAAATTTTTGTCATCAATGTCTTTGTTTTTGTTTTTCATGGGGAACTTGCCATTGAAGTACCATGACTTTGAAACATTAGAATTGTTGATTATTGCCATTTAAATGGATGCTTAGATTTTTATTTCAATTTTCATTTCCTTTTATTTTATGTGTATGGGTGTTTTTGCCTATATGTATGTATGCATATATGTTTGTATGCATGTATGTGTGTATGTATGTATGAATACTGTGTCTGTGCCTGGTACCCACAGAGGCTAGAAAAGGGCCTCAGATCATCGTCCTTCACTGTGTTGATGCTGAAAATTGAACCCGTGTCCTCTGGAAGAACAGCCAATGAACTTAACATTTGAGTCATCTCCTTAGCCCCTAAATGTAGATTATTTATAATCAAATATCCCTCCCCAAATGCAATCATAAGACTAATTTAATTCTATGAGTGAATAAAATAGCAAGTGTTCAAACTATTGTGCTTCATTCACAAGAAACCAATGTTAATTGTTTCTATAAAAGCAATAAACCAAAAGAGATTCTAGCACCCTCTTTTTTTTTTTTAACTTTCCAAAGCACAATTAGGAAGATATTGCCTTACTCATCTTTGTTTGCAATGTCTGTGCTATATTATGATACATGGAGATAAGATAATTGTCTTTTACATCTTCACATAAACAAATATGCAAGTGGATTTTTAGTTTGCCACTTAGGACTCTCGCTTATAAAACTAGGACAATCCTAAACAATTTTAGTATTAAAACCAGGTCAGTCCCAGGCAAATGGGTATCAGTTAGTTGCCCTAAAGCAGGATGAAATAGTACTAGAGTTGAGACTCCTTTGGGGAGAAGACTGAAACGTCTTAGGCTTGTTCTTTAAGAGTTTTCCAAACGTCTCCCTTTTCTAACTTGCCAGAGTCAAGACAGTCCATATTGTCTCTCTGGATTCAGAAGCCAAACGACAGGGGCACTAGAAAGTCCTGTCCTGTCATGCAGTAAGGAGCAGGCACTTGAGCCCATGCCAAACGGTAAGGATTTGAATGCGGCCTTTCTGTCCATTAGGTGGGGTCATTCTGTGCCTCGAGCTCCTCTGACATTGTTAATAAAACAATATAAAATAATGTCCAGCTTTTAGGGTTGCCATACGTGTTCAAGAAAATTGCTTATTGTGATCCTGGTTATGACCAGCGACTCAGAGCAAGCTTATGCCTGCCAGCAATGGTAAGGAATTATGGAGAGTGCTCTAGAAGTACCTGATAGTGTTAGCTCTTGTGTGGTCTCCTGCAAGGCAAGGCTTCCATCAGTATGAGGGGTCAGCCACACCTTGCTTTTTTTGTTCAAGGACATTTCAAACTCAATTCTCTTTCAGGAAATCTAGCACCCGTGGGATGGACAACGGTACAATAAGACTGTCATAGTTCTTTTGAAGCTAATTACACTGTGAAGTGAAGGATTCTAACAGACTCTATTCTTAAAGAAATAGCCAGTATCATAACAAAACTACCTACTGACTATTTCATTAAGTGATTCTAAGACTGAAGTAAGGAAGGCATGGTAAGCTTATTCCTAATCATGAGTTGGGTGCAAAGCTGAAGAGCGCAGTTAGTTCCACAGTCTATTTTGGTCTGATTAAAGAAAGGTTTGTTTGCTCCTGTTAAAGATAAGAGAAAGGAAGACTGATGAAATCAGGTTCTGGGCTGACTGCAGAACTTTAGGGTGGGAACTCACTTCCTTGGGGACTGCATCACTGTAACAGCTGTTGTATACCATCAAGGCTTCATCCCGGCCAGGTAGTCAGTGGCATCCATTCCAGATCTATGGTAGCTACTTCCTAATGAGGGGAAAATAGATTTTTGTTTGAAATTCTACATTAGTTCAATCAATTTTGTTTGCTATGGATGGGGCTGGAGAAGGGGCGCCAATGGCTGAGAGCACGTACTGCTCTTCCAGAGGACCAGAGTTCTGTTCCCAGTTTCTGTTTCCCCGACCTATATAAGGCAGCTCACAGCCACCTGTACCTGAGTCCTGGGAACTGTTAAGTATCCTTTGACCGCTGAGACCATTTGTGTATGCATGTGCACAGGCACAGGCACAGGCACAGGCACAGGCACAGGCACAAATGAACATAATTTAAAAGTGAAGGCTGGAGAGATGGCTCAGCCATTAAAGGCTAGTCTCACAACCAAACATATAAAAACAATAAATATTTTTAAAGTTCGCTATAGATTCAGAGTATAAATAATTTGTTCATTAAAAGATAATTTCAGGATCTTGGCTTTTCAAATAAAATTTATTCCCAGTGCTGGTCAAGAATCCTGACGGAAAGTAGAAGAGAAGTAGATCTGGGAGAGAGAGTAGTTGTGTTGGGGGAGGGGTGGAAGGAGAAGAAGGGGGAGAGCTGCAGGGAAGGATGTGAGGGAAGAATAAATAACACACACACACACACACACACACACACACACACACGCTTATCCCTTACAGTCTAACAGTATATTCTGTGCCTTGATTCCCCTTTCGAAGTGTAAGTCATTTGCAATAGTCAGCCCCTTTCAACCCTTCACTTTCTCTGCTTATTACAGCAGATGTCAGATCCACCATGGAGCACCTTCAGAACTTTGAGACATTTATTTTACATGAGATTGTCTTGTGAGTTCATGCTGTAGTTTGTGGGGACTTCTCACACTTAAAAGTATTCTGCTTCGTATTGAAAAACCTCCACTTTGGTGAAAATTCTGAATATCTATGGCTGAAGTGCTCTTTCAAATCTAATATTAGGCCCTTTTTCTTCTCTTCTTCCCTTGTAGACAAGTGAGGCAGTATGTTTTGTATCTTCTGCTGGGACACATTAAGTATCCTCACTGAAGTCTTAAGGGAGCCTAAAACCAAAACAAAGTCTCTCATCCATTGTTTGTGATACATTTTTAGATGTAAACTCCTGGCTTTATGGACCCCAAGAATAAATCAATAAGAAAAAAAATATTTAGCATTAAACATTTTCCCAAGGAAGTAGAGAATTCCCACAGGTTAACTAAAGTTCTGGACCTTTGCCCGAGAAGAGGAAATTGTCCCAGAAGGGAGGATGCAATCAGTCACACAGAGTTACAGACTTCTGCTCAAGATGACTGTTAAGGAAAACAACAGCACTTCAGAACTCTTATTTACGGCTATCTTTTGGAACTATTTCACGACCTGTGCACTTTTTATATTGCATTCTGAAGCAAATGTACTTCAAAGTTTCCTGTTGGAAAGAACGCACATGAAGTCATTTGTAGAGAGAATTAGATCATAGCCTTTGTGGAAAATGTTTAGGGTTACATATCCTTTTTATTTGCACCTCTAATTACCAAGGAGCATAACTGAAATTAAGAAAGAAAGAAACAGACTTGTTAATGTGCTAATGGCTAGTAGGCTTTCTCTTTCCTGCTTTCTTAGCTCAGATACTGTGTACTGTATATTCTTAGCTCAAAATGCTGTGTATTCAAGGGAATTAATAAGAAATCCACCCCCTCCCCCTTTTAAAGACAGATTTGTGTCCTTGGCTAATTTGAGATTCCAGGCAGTAGTTGTGTATTGCAACTTAATTTTAATGTATTTTCTATCTGTTTTGTTCAAGTGTTAAAGGGTGGGTAGATAGACTATTGAGAATTATAACACAGACTATGGAAGAATAGTAAATGAAAAGTTCCCAATTCTTAAAAAGCTATAAATTTGGATAAGCTGGCAACGGTTTAGTTAACTATTAGGCCCTTATGTAAGCATTAGGTAAATTGTTTTGGGGACTTGAAATTAAGTGTTTCCAAGATGAGAGACCAGTTCTTGGACTGAAGGAACGCCACCTCCTTGCCAGCAGTTTAGCCTACACTGAGAGGTCCTGGCTGAAGAAATGGTTGGCTAGAGCTAGTGTAGTAGGAGGTGGTACAGAGCAATTACAGCTCCTGTAGTTTTCCCATCATTGGTCGATTTTACATCTTCCCCAAAGTTGGCAAAGATTTCTCATTAACTCCCGGGCTGTCACGGAAGTAACGTTTAAAAAAGGTATGGTTCCGTTTCAGTAAGAATGTTTTGGAACTCCTCTGTGGTTTTAAGCCCCCACCCACTTCAACCAATCTAGCAAATGGAAGAAGCCAGGCCTCTAGCGATCCATTCCGCAACTGATGCTAGCACAAATGGGAGGGACCAGGCAGCTGCTGAGAGGCCTTCTCCGGCCCAAATTCGTTTGGGGTTTTGGCCTTTGCCCCTAGAAAAATTAATTGATACGAGTTTGGCCAGGTCAGAAAAGGGAAAGGGAGACTAGCAGAGCGGGAAGGCTTGCGGGGGTGGGGTAGGGGTGTCAGATTCACCACCCCTAACCTTCCCCCAAAGGCATCTAGGTGCCCGGGGAATCTCTCCCGGGCACCATAGCTCTCGCCCTCCCAGAGGCAAGTTTCTCCGCGAGCATTAGACACCTGTGTGAGGCGCTCCCCTTGGGAAAGGTGTCGTGGTGGACGCTAGAGCTCAGCCACACACCGCTTTCCTCAACGAGGCTGCGGTCACAGTCCCTCCAGAAGTCAGAGCTGTTAGCACGCACAGCCTGCTGTGTCTTCCTCGGTCGCCAGCAACCTAGCCCCATATTGTGGGAACAGGAGCCCGCTGACGCCTCTCCAGTTCGCTCCGGGTCCTCTCCCTCCCACCTCTCCACCTCCAAAGTAGCGCTCCAGCCTCTCTCCGCCCGCACAGTCCCAGCGCCCCCGAGCTTTATCAGGCTCCCCACACACATCGCTGGCTTCCTCTGGCACCAGGCTCCGGTGACCCCAGCCGAGCAGCCACCGCCTCGGAGCCCGGTCCTCCTCCTCCCGCCCGCTGGTCACCGCGCCTCCCCGGCTGTGCTCCCGCAAGCACCGAGGCGCCCATCGCCTTTCAGGTTCATCCTGGGCTGGACCTGTTTTGCTCATCCCTAAACCCGGAGAAGTGGAATCTGCACACTGAAACTCTCGGCGGCTGGAGCGGCGGACTGGGCATGCTCAGAAGCCAGGCTTGGCTTTGGTCTCAAGTCGGAGGAAGCTTTTGCACTCGTGAGGCAGCGGCGACTTTAGGGAAAGTTGATCCGAGAGGGGAGAAAGCCCCAAGACGTGGAGCAGAGGCAGGAAGGAGCCCCCGGCAGCCCGGAGGAGCATGGGCACCCTGCGGGATTTACAGTACGCGCTCCAGGAGAAGATCGAGGAGCTGAGGCAGAGGGATGCTCTCATCGATGAGCTCGAGCTGGAGTTGGATCAGAAGGACGAACTGATCCAGAAGCTGCAAAACGAACTGGACAAGTACCGTTCGGTGATCCGGCCGGCCACCCAGCAGGCGCAGAAGCAGAGCGCCAGCACCTTGCAGGGTGAGCCGCGCACCAAGCGCCAGGCGATCTCAGCGGAGCCCACCGCCTTCGACATCCAGGATCTCAGCCACGTGACCCTGCCCTTCTACCCCAAGAGCCCACAGTAAGCAGGGTTGCGCGCCCGCCCGGGTCCGTGCGGCGCCCAGGCGGTGGGGAGCTGCGGGTCTCTCTCTGTATTGTCTGTCGGCTCCTGCCCCTCCTGTTTGCCATGTCTGTCCTCATCCTCAGAAACGTCTCATTTTCACCGCACTTCTTGAGGGGCTGTGCACGTTTCTCGGGGCCAGACTCCCCGCACATCCGTTGCTTTCGTGTCTTTGTCAGATGACAAGGTATTTTAAAAATATACATATACGTCCATATAGGCCACCTACCGTACATAGAGTTTGGATGCGCCCCAGGTGTGTGTGTGTGTGTTTGTGTGAGTGACTGTTGAATGGAGGAATCAGAGCCCCAGTCTCTCCCAAAGCCCCAGCCAACCTGGCCAGCTGGAAAATCCTAACTGCAGGCTCATCAGACTGAAATGAAATGCGTTGAATGTTGCCCCGACTTTCCATGTTCTTGTGGCTCCCCTGGATTTTTCTACATGCCGCCAGCGCTTCATGCTGGTACCGTTCAAACCTGACGTTCTGCCACCATCAAGGTGTGAAAGACTAAGTGGAAATACATATAAAACAGAAGAATTTTTCTTAAATTCCTGAGTTGAGTGACATCTATAAGCCATACATGGAAACCTAGTCTGTTGATGATTTAAAAGAAAATATTTTCATAATATCCGAGAGAGAATATTACTTGTTTTCCTACAGGAATTTTCACATGGTTACTAATGAACACTTTCATTTCCCCAGAGGGCTCGTGTATTTTCAGGGGCAGTGTAGCCAAGCACACGTTTTTGCCAGCGTGAACCACGCTTTGCCTCACACTCGGGCTTCAAGCCACTCCGCGGCCGTTCCTGCATGTCAGAGAGCCGTGTACTTCTGATGGCAGTGGGATTCATAACTTGGATGGGAACACTGAATGAAACTTGTTACACAACACTCAACCCCGGAGTCCATATGGAGAGCGAGCAGCAGGGACAGGACGGTAACAGAACCAGAACACCATCTGAATGGCATTTTAATTAATAGTAATGACATAATTGGTAAAGCAGAGGATTCTGTGGTCCTGCTTTTAACTACCTAACTCGGCTGGGATGACACGTGTTACATAATAACAGAAGGTCCCTGGGAACCCTTTACTTCATAAACACGGTGAATTCGTAAGAGGGGAGAGTGAATGCTTTGTTGTCTCCATTTTATATCTTTCTGATGGGAGGGGTCTATGGGCACCTACTATATAGACTTCTGAAAACTTACAAGTCGAATCTATACATGTTGGCTCCTCCCCCTCCGCGTGAATCATCCGGAGGCTTAGCTGAAGAAGGAGTTTGCCTTCTGTGGAGTAGGGGAGAGTTGATAAGGATACATATTTCTGAGATTCCATCCTTACCACGTTACCATGAGAGAGGAGCTGGTTTCAGTTAGTCTCAGAAACCTGAATTATCTCAACCCATTGGAGCTTTCTTTGATAAATTAATTTGCAGTTCCTGGCATGTTCGCCTGTTGCAGCAAACAAGGTACAGGGTAGTCTTCCCTGGGCCAAGTTCTGCATGTTAAAAATATGACTCGGAGACGGCTATTGGTATTATAAAATATTCTATAGGAATGCCATTTTCATGTCTGCAGGACTTTGGAGTAATCCAGAACAAAATCTGCTTTTCTAAAAAGACCGTTTTAATGGGCTTTTAGAGGCAGTGCGATCAGTCCAGCTGATAACTCCACTTAAGCATTCTATTTGAGAATGAACTGTGGAATGTGCTACATTTAGAAGACTTTGGACTCTTGGTGTTTGATCCAGAACACTAGTGTTTATAAAAGACAACAATAGAAAACAAAATTATAGGAGCACATACTTTGTGGCATTCCTGTAGGACAAACATTGTATCTGTCGAAGAATGTTTAGCATCCCAGTACTTATTTGATATCTTTAAAGGACTCAGTTGTTAAGGTGGTATCACCCTGTGAGCTTTGTAACTCTGAGGGATTATATTGGAGAACATGATAAAATGTCTTCCAAGTTTAAATAGTTTTGGAAAAAAAAACATCTGTTCTTTTTTCACACTTAGATTAAGGAAACCGGAATTGCCTTGAATGATAGTGTACCTCTCTTAGGAGAAAATAAGTATATTTTAGGCAAAACAGTTATTCTCCTATGCCATTTGAGTGGCTTGTCCATTATGTGGACAAGATAAGCTCCACATAGAAATAAGAAGATGTGTCAATCTAAAAACTTTTCTTTTGTATTTTGTTTGAATATTTTTATTATTCCAACTTGCTGGCAACAGTTGTTTATACCTTTAATCTTTAGTACAACTTAAATTTAATCACTTTCCTAAAGATTAAGTTAAGCTTGAGGTGAAAGTAAGTAGACTGAAACTGATTTCAGCTGCACGTTCCTCATAGTTTTTGGAGATCTTTCCAGGAGACGCAGTTAACTGACCAGCTGATATTCTGTTCAATTATCTGACGATTGGAGAGGATCATCTAGCGTTCCCTTACTGAGGCTGCCTTTGGAGAACTACGATGTTTCAAACTTCCTTATTCTTACTAATAATGGATCATTTTGAGGGTAAAAAGCAGTACAAAATGGAAAGTAGCTGGATAACTTTTATCATCTTAACGGCTTTTAGTTGGGTTTTCCCTTTAAGGTGAGACTTGGAAGAAAGCCTCTGCCAGATTCCTCCCAGGGGAGGATACTTCTGATACTCCTGTGAGGTGGGGTGTGAGTGTTGGTCTTTCACAGTCTGTGTAGCGGTAACCTTTAAACCCTTCTTAGGTTATGTATAGATGTGAGGGGAAGAACTGATCTTCTCCAAATTGGAGTCTGCACTATGCTGTACTATGCTGCTGCCAATGAACTACTTAAGAGTGTAAAACCACTAGATTCTATGTTCCAAAATATATTGAGCAAAAGAGCCCTCAATGGTGAAATAAACAACCAAGCCCCAGCCAGCCAGCCAGTCTGTGAGATCAGGCCACGCGGTGGGTGGTTCAGATGAACTTTGGAAATAATTCTATTTCATGACATTTCATTCCTAAAGATGCACTCGCTGTTCCCAAATCTTTTCTGTTTGGCTGTCACAGGCTTCCATGTCATTTCAGTTGGACTATCTGACTTGAGTTCCTATCAAAACTTGTTAATGTCTGTGTGTTTTTGTAAAGCTGTTGCTTTTTACCCGTGAGGTGGCTTCACTTCAGAGACCGATGACATGTTCTGTTCTGTTTCACTTTGTGATTGTGAAATACTTTGGAAGAATTGAAGAAAAAAAAGAGAAATATGTTTTCTTATTTTAAGGAGGAATTAAGTTATGGAAGATCCTATGTGATCATCTAAACCTTGATATTATGTTCTAAGAGAAACAGTGTCTCCCTAAATGCTATGTTTAATTCTGAAGGAAGTCATGGAAATCACTGAATTCTGGTGTGTTGTATAAATAGCCTAATATCAAAGCATAGATTTCTTTGAAAGTATTAAATTTCAAATGGGCCTTGCAAGTCAGTTTAATACTTGTCTGAGGTACCTGCCACGTGGTACCTGGAAAATATTGGAAGGCACATAACCCTCACCGTTAAAGAGTTAGCAAGGGACTCAGTAATAGTATACAAGTAAATATTTTAGAAAACTGAGAAAGGCGGAATGCAGAACAGTTCACAAAAAAAACAGTTGGTGGCTCCTGTTGCATTGTATGGTGTCAGGAGCTCCCCCGGAGTATGTGCTATTGCATTGCAGTGCTGGCAAGACTGCCATGGTTTAGGCATCTTGTAATGTGAAGGGAGGAGTGAGAGGATTGTGGGTTGGAGAGATACAGCTCAAGCCATCAGCCGAGAGAGGGACCCAGAGAATGGTGGCAAATCAGCAGCTCTGCTAGAGTGCTGTGGAGGGAACTAAATAGCTCAGGTTCTAGGGCTGTATAAACTGGGTTAAGAGGGACATATGTTTGTTTTTAGAATGATAAAGAATTGTGTGTGTGTGTGTGTGTGTGTGTGTGTGTGTGTGTGTGTGTTTACCAAGGGCTGGTTATTAGTGGTGAAGCTCTGAATAACAGGACGTGGTTCTAACCTTCCATCATAACTGTACTAGCTAGGTAAGATGTCTAACCTAACCAAAAAAACAGGCAAGTAAGACCCTTAAAGAAACCAAGGTCCCCTCTTAAAGAAACTGAGTGCTTTTCTGAGTGTTCCCATTGAAAACAGCCTAGTTATATGCCATCGGCCAGCTCTGCAGATTCCTCACATATCTGGGCAGACTGATGTAGATGGGAATGCAATTTTGTTAGTTATTGAAATTCATCTCCCCCGCTTCTGTGGGGGGGGGGAGTTAAAGTCTGACCTCAGGTTATTATAATAGTTTCCAATTTAAGTCTGAACATTAATTTGACATTACTGCCTATGCAGGGAAACAGAAGTCTTGCAAAGGCTTTATAACATTCTATGGGATCATGCTGCTGAATATCCTGTTAGGGGGTTTGGAAGTACAGTCAAGTTGCTTGCCCCTAAAACAGAACTTATAATGAAAAGACAGACAAGCCTTAAATAGAGTAGCTCCAGGGACTGCCTGAGAATATAAATGACCAGCTTCCTTGCCCTACTGGGGTGCATTTCCAAGCTCCCACTGTTTATTTTTTACTAAGGAGGTGGGTATGGATATCTGTTAGGAAAGGGGAGAATAAGACATGCGATATTTCCATTGTTGTAGTTTGCAGGTTATAAGGCATATGGGAACATTTTTTCCCCCTGTCTGCCTAGCAATGGAGGGTCTCCATGGTATCCTAGCAACCATATTTGAACACCAGGCTGCTGCTCTTTCTGCTATCTCTACCATAGGTGCTGCTGCCCATCCCAAGACACTGGAATTGCTGCTGGCATCCCAGGCCCTCTGACTTCCTGGCTCTGCGAACGCAGACAATGTGACAAATACTCACATGCTCAAAACAGCACTTACCAGCACGCTCAACAGCTTATTATAAAACCACATCTGTGGCATTTTGAATCCTAATCCGAATTGTTG